GAATTGAGGCTTTAAATTTAAACTGATTCACCGTGCTACTCATTTCTGAGAAATCTCCTGCGAGTGCAGCACTCCCTGTTTCTAAATCTTTTAAACACATAACAAACCAGACAAGTGTACGATGAAAAGTGTGCAGAAAAACTAAAAGCGACTTTTACAGACTGAGGAGATGCTTAACAGGACTTTGATGTGTTTGAAACCATCAAAAAACAGATCAATAACCCTATCAGCCCTAAATATGGCAACATTAACCAGGCTATTGAAATTAAATAAACAGGGTTTCCTCCCTCACCCGTCACAGTCTCAACCTACCTGCTCGCAGTCCTTTAAATAATGAAACAACCCCTCTCTGTGCGCCTTTATGGACTGATGACTTTGTTTCGCCATTGATTGGCTAAGTTTTATTAATTTTAATTTAAGAACGGAAATTGATGACTAAAAAGTAAACTCAAATTATTATTGTCACGGTGCTGGATGCCTTGATGTAAGACAATATGACTCGATCAAGAAAAACTAAATATGAGAAAAACATATTGCTTGAATAGCATATGTCAAAAAAAAGAATTCCAACGATTCGATTTTGAAATTTTTTAAGAAATTGTTAAGACTCGGTTTTATTATGGTGACATTTTGTACAATTATTTATATGCCTATCAGTGCAAATACTGATTTTAAAAACTTTTCAAAAAGGACATTTCTGATATTTTTTTATGTCATAGTGCTACTCTGACTGACAGCCGTGTTTCACCGACCCATCAGCGTTCAGCGAAACTCCAGGTTTCTCCAGCAAAGTAAGGATAAAGAAGAGGGAACAAATTCCCACCAATATTCCCTGAAATCCATCATATTTGAATGCATTGTTTTGTCTGAGCATCAGCACAAAGTTTCATTAAAGGGTTGTTTTTAGTTTTCATTTAGGATTGTTTATTTTAAAAAACGTAAGCAGTTAAGAGAACTCACAATATCAACAGCAATGTTTTGAACAACTAATCAGTTGATTGTTCATTTCAGCTGAACACTGGCCCCTTTCTGGGTGTGCTTCTGGGTAATAATGAAACTGCTCACACAAACTTTATAATGTTCGTGAGCACTTGGCTCTCGGGGTCTGGGGTTTTTTGTAGCGTGAGATAAACCAATTTTAATAAAACCAAGATTTAAGTTTTGATTCAGTTGTCTCACTGTTTCCATTGTTTGGATACAGAGTTATCAGAACAAACCACATAAAACCCCACTGCCTCTAAAAACATAATGCTAGATAAAATAAACAACCACCCCCCCCCGCACAAAGCTTACACATCAATATATCATATGCATTAATGAATGTTTTGTTTCCTCACATTTTTATTACTGCTTCCTATTTTATTTTTAGCTCTCTTTTCATTTAAGAAACTTCCCTTCTTGCCCATGAGGGTTTCCTGTCTGTGTGACCTACTCTTCCCTTATTTGTTTCACCTTCATTTCATTACCCTTGCAGCATGTGCGTTTCCTGTGTGTGTGTCTCATACAGGCGGTTTTCTTTTTCAGTGGTTCACTATTGGCATTTTGTTTTATTTTATTCCTTTCTCATGTTTTTAAAATAAGATTTCTCTTTGTTACAGATTTACAATCCGTAACACATTTCAGAATAATTTTTAATACAGTTGTTGTTATTATTTGACAACTTAGTGGTTTCTTGTGAACTTTCCACATTGTGATGGAGTGATGGAGCTTTTGGGGTTAGATTTGTGGCACTTGGCATTAGTGTTTTTGATGCAGTGCTGGTTATATTTTGGGTAGTGTGAGATACTTAAGATATGTAGGAGTGTGTACCAGTACCTGTGCATGCAAATTCTTTGGGATTGTGGCCTTAAACTCACCTAATTGAATTCAAAAGTTAAGAAGAGAGATTGCCTCTGATTGTCATGGGTCTGTGGATGTTACAAACTGCGTTCAGTGTTGTGAGGATGGCCTGAATGCAGGCTCTCGGGCAGGCAGAGGTGATGATAAAGCAAATGATTTAATAGAGTGTTAACAAGAAAAAATAAGGGAAACACTGGAAATGATGAACTACAAGAAAACACACACAGGGAATGGGAACTGCCAGGAGAGCAGACACTCTAACAAAGACTAATAGGACACATGGCACTGCATACACACAGACAGGGAGAAGGGCAATCAGCGAAGTGGAAACAGATGGAGAGAACGAGGCAACACCTGAACTAAATCACAGAAGATGGGAGAAGGGAAGAAAAACTAAAAGCAAAGCACAAGGAACAATGGACTATCAAAATAAAGCCGGAAGTGAGTCAACTTGGAAAACAGACAAAGGAATAAACTTAATACAGGAGACTTGACAAGAGAGGATGGCACACTGAAGGAGGAATTAAACTCTAAAGGACCGAGAACAGCACTAAATACACTAAAGTGGGGAAATACATGAAACAGCCTAAATTCTAAGTAAGCCAACAATCACATCAGATATTTACAAAAACAAAACTTGAAAGTCTAAAACACTTAAATACTGAGCAAACTGACCGTGGCACTGATGTCACACATGAGGCAAGTAAACCTTATGGCTAGCACTCACAACAAAAAAGAGGTCCTGCTGGTTATGAGATATGATAATGGAAACATCAGAGGAAGATAGAAGAAGAGATTATTCAGTCAACATGCCCAAAGGGTGTTTTACTGCTTCCTCTTTCCCCCTCATTATTGTTTCTGGATACTGGCGTGTGCGCATGAAATAAAGAGCTTCAGAAACAGAGAGACCATGTGAGCTGGCGTGTTTGTGTGTTCAGGACACAGAAATGCTGATGCTTCTCCTTTGGGCCCTGTCAAGCACACTTAGCGTCAGTGTTTACAATGTAAAATTGGAGAAAGTCCCTGTAATTCCAGGAGGCCTGAAGGCTGGTGAGAACAGGAGGAAGACAGGAGCCAGGGGGAAATTGTTCGGAATTGGAAAAGCCCTCGGGGCTGTGTGTTCAAACACATGTGAAGGACGCACTCACCTCATGGTAAAATCACAGTGCATGATGTCATGGGTTTAGATTGATTTCCGCTGCAGCGTAGGTTCCTCTGTCAGAGCAGCTCAACAGATTCGTGGTTACCCTCAGGCAAATTTGATTTATAATGCTGGCAGGCTGAATACTGTTTTATAAAAGAACACACAATGTGTCAGTGCTTTTCTGGCTCTGTGATTCTTCCAGTGGTTTGATTTAAAAACAAAGATTATCTGTCCTAGTTCAGGGCTGCTTTCATATTTTAAAGAGGATGTTTTTTGGGTGTGGGGGCATTCCTATTGTGTTTGTGGAGAGTTAGAGAAGATTAATATCACTCTCTTGTCTGTATGGTAAAATGTTACTGCATGAAGTTTTGTTGTTGCTGTAAGATTACCAGTGCATCAGATGAAACAGTTTCTGCCTCTGACTGAATACAGAGGCAGAAACTGCCTAAAGCTTAAAGCTTTCACTACATTAAACAAGACCAATTTCAAGTTAATTAATGAGGCCTTGAGTTGCTGATCAATGCAGTAGATTTTTATGTCTTATACATACAGCAACGGTAGCGGTTTCCTGTTGTTTCTGAGCTTCATGCAAGGCTAAGCTAATTGCTAAGCTAATTGCTAAGCTTTACCATGTTTTCAAGGATGGTCTGCATGTTTTCTGGTTTGTTTCCTTTCATCGGACTGATTTACAACTTTTTATTATGGATTTTCTGATTAAGGCCCGTAGCTTATGTAAACCAAACCTGGACTGGCTTTAATCACTCTAACAGACATTAATATGTAATAAAATGCACTTGATCCACTTTCATGCAAGCAGATTGTTTCTTCTGCTTGATGAGAAAGAATGAACTAGATCAGATGTGCAAGAGTGGTCCTGATTCTGTGACCTATCATTCTACAGATAGGTCACAGAAACATACGGGCTTTGCTGTAAAGAGCTGAGGCTGTCACACAGACTAAGCCCTAATGATAGAAACAGGTGATTAAAAAAACAAATTTGAGTCCTGCTATACATAAGTAACCTTAAAATACTTTAGTAAATGTACTGAGTTACTTTCTACTACTTGTTGAATAAAAAAAGTATTCAGGTATATTTTGTCAATGATCCAAACTGATTTGTACTTAAACAAAGGTCAGTGCAATGTAATCATATATAATCAGTTCAATACAATCACATAATAATTTGATTGTAATTTGTCCTTGTATCTAATATTAAATACACAATTTTACTACTTAAAGCAGCAGACTAAGTGCAGGAGCTGATAACTAACCACCACACTTGTATTTGGGGTGTTGTAAAGCATGTAAAGCTGGACTGCCCGTGGTGTGCCAAAAAGTGAGTGACTACCAAAAAAAAAAAAAAAACAACAAGATTTCCAGTGGGGTTTTTTGTGTTTTTTAAAGCACGATATATTTGTTTGCTTTGGTAAACAAACTGTGACCTGATTCAAGTATCTTTATGACTCTGTGTTATTGTACTTACATTATAACCAATCCAGCCTTTTTGGGCTACTTAACATATCTTTATAAATGGACTGTTTCTTATATCGCACTTTTCTACTCCACTTGAGCGCTCCAAGCGCTTTACACAACATGCTTCATTTACCCACTCATACAAGCACGATTTTTCTACACTTAAGTGCTGTCTATCTAACAGACACACACATTCATACTCTGATGAACGCATCGGAGAGCAATCTGGGGTTCGATATCTTACACAAGGACACTTGGGCACCTGGAAGCATCAAAGTGCTTCCAGGGCCCTGTGCACGCAGGTTTGATGCGCTATTATTGGCACAGAGAGACGTGCAAATAAAGTAAAATAAAACAAGATCCAAATATCTTCTACTAATGTGGGTGGGAATGGTCAGTGATTCCCATTCAGCACCAAGATGTGAGATTCAGCGCAGGCCGCTCTCCGCATCCCTCTCGCCCATCCCCTCCCGCCAGCTGCCACTTGCAGTAGTGGTGATGCTGCTCCCTGGCGTGTAGAGGAGGAGAGAGAGCGTGCCCGCTGCCCAATGACAGCGCAGGATGCTGAGAGAGGCTGCTCGGGTGAATGGAGGCGACAAGATGCCGTCTAGAGCGGCGAAGAAGAGGAATTAACATCGATAAAGGTAAAGCCCGTGCGTTTATTTTACCTCACATCAGATCTGTGATTTTCATTACAGAAGAATGAACGCCTGACATGCGCGAAGGTTTTTTTTCCCTGCCTTCTTGAGGGTTTCATGAACGACTTGCCGGGGGAAAAGGCACAGGCTGTGTGCGTTTAAAAAAAAGAAGAAGAAAGAAATCCTCCTAATTCCGTGGTGGCTGATTGCATAGCTCACTTGATACGTAAGAATTTGCATTTTTAAGCCGCGTTGACGCGATAGAGCAGCGAAGTCTTTCAAAATAAAGGTTTCAATCGCTTTCTCCACGGCGGGTTAGACTAATATTTCATTGGTGTATTCAGATGCACACCACGCTGGAGCTATCGAAAATGTAGGCCCAGTGAGCTGTCAATTGCTCGGTCGTGCCTTCCTGTATTACTGTGCTGCATTAAATGTAGCCCCTATCACCCAGTGTCAATAAGGCGACATAAGGAGAAACACCTCAGCTCCAAATAGTCGTTTATGACTTAATGAAGGTTACCGTGATATCGGGGTGTTTGACATTTCCCTCCCCCCGCCCGTGACATCTTCCATTAGGAGCCTGAAGCATAAGCTGGACCATCCTTAAATACTGGAATTTGGTGGATAAGTGGACATCTACATTTTCTCATCTAATCATCCAAGCGTTGAAGTCCGTGGGAGGCATTCGGGGGCGTCAAGGCTCTGTAGTAGAATACATGATGAGGAGGCTGCATGTGTTGCACTTGCTCTCGTAAGGAACCGGTTGGCGTGCTTGGCCGCCTTCACATGAATTACTAACTATTATCGGCCCATATGACAGTCTATTTATAGAAAATGTCCTTCTTTGTCCGCCATTGGCATGCGCTCTGACCTCACATTACCACAGCCGCTCCATATAGTTTAGTAGGCTGGTCGTTTCATCAGTTTTATCAGGGTAAGAACAAAATACCCCCGTGCAGCCTTTCATAAAATGTCACGATTGCCTGATAGGAAACACTCCCCCTGACCCCAGAGGTAGCCAAAGCATCCCCTGTGGTGAAATCTTTGTTTCGGGACATCTGTACCCTCTCTGCTGTTTCCGCACCATTTCTCTCTGATCGTGTTATACTGTAATTTGCTCTTAGGTTTGTCACCTCAGCGGCATAATCTATGTTTCAAACCCTCCAAAACCACGCGTGTTTGATATTTACGATCGCAATAATAAGCTCACAGCAGAAAGCCTGGATAATAAAGTCTGTAAACAAGTTTGGTGTCATAATGGAAGTAAGCTCTGATTTCCCTTCTGATTTGTCATGGAACCTTTTGTTATCCATATAAGGTAGATGATTGCAGTTGGGCTTGTCATCAGCTGGCATCTCTTGAGGTTCTTCTATATTATCACTGTTTCTGCAAAAATAGATACTCTCCTTTTTCCATTTTTTGACAGTTTTGTCATTCTGGCTTTCTCAGCAGTGTGCTTCGGATGCAGGTGATTCAATTTTCCTTTAGAAAAGGGTTATAACAACAATAAACGAGCCCCCACAGTCTTTTATAACACAGTATATAAGGTAGAACATAGCACGTTATGGTATTTGTCACAGATATTTGTCACTTGAGTCCAGCTTCTACAATGAAACAAACAACAATGACTAAATGGACTAAATGGATGATTTAGTGTAAATTTTTTCACTATCTGCAATCTTACACTGCAAGTCCTATGACCAAACCACAATTTACAGATTTCCATCCAACTATTCCACCACTGCAAGTGCAAGTAGAGAAACACATGACTGTGGCACAATGATGTGCTTGGAATGTGCCATATGGTGGACAGGGAATACTGTGCAATGTAAAAGCCTTATCACTAGCAGCTGATTTCTGTTAGGACAGAGAAAGACACACTTTTGGTGTGTTCACTTAAGCGGTGGCAGTCTATTGTGCTTTCAAAACCTGTGTTTGTATGTTGTTGTTGTTTTTTTTTAAAACATTTCCCAGCATTGTTCTGCATGTGTGGTTTTCCTGTAATTTCAGAGTTTATATGCCTAACTCGGAATGGAAGTTGGATAGCCTAAAAAGCTTCAGCATTGGACAAGAAGACATATTTTAGGTCAACTTACAGAGTGAGAAACATGCTGGAGTCACTGCCTGAATCGTTGGCTCATCATTTTTGACACAAGTCAAACTAAAACAATAATCCTAATTCTGTAGAGACCACATTTATATATCCTGAGCAGTGTCATCTATCAGCAAAAAAATAATGATTATGAGGCTCATTAGCAGGACAGTGCTAATTTGTTAAAAGATGCTTCTCTGCAGTCTTTTGCTGGATATGTTGGGGGTTTTTCCCCATAAATTTACCAACTAGACTTCACAGAGCTGCTGTAGCAAGCTGACCGCTGAAGATAACAGCAGCAGGCTTTGTTGTTGCACATGTCAGCATATTTGAAATTTGCATTTAATTTGCTCGTGTCCCTTTGAGCATGTAAAGTTAAAAAAAGAGGGTTTTTTGCAGCTAAAGGATATAGATGAAATATCTGAAGGCATGCTCTGTCCGAGCCTTTAGACAGATTCCATTTGATTTTCTTTTGCCCTTTTTAAATATATGCATATATCTGTCCAGCCCCGTTCTGTTTCCAGACACCTGTTACTTAATACAGCTAGCAGAGAAGACACTGTCTCGTTCCACTTCCTCAGCCTGGCTGCAGTGATCGCTGCTGGGCAGGCGCTGATTTACAGATGAAGCTTCGGTGAAAGCAGCTGAGGGTCCCCATCATCAAAAATCGCATTGAATTTCACACACTGCCCAACCTGTCGATATGCTCTACCGTGCCATTAATTGTCATTTTAACTGCCCTTCAAAGTAAAATACAAGAATGTACATGATAATAAAAAAGGAATTATTTGCAGAATATACCCTTAAGTAAATTTTGTGCTGCATATACAATTAAACATTTAAAAAAAATTTTTTTTAATCAGACCTTTTTGAAACATTACGTCAGACGACTGAGGTGCTTTATCTTTGTTAGCCCTGGCATAGTCACCATGGCAACTGGATCTGCGTAACAAGTGTCACCAAAGGAGACACTTTGATGGAAGAGTCTGGTTCTTTTTAACTTACACTGAATGCCTATAAGCTCAGTTAACCTTTGTCTTATACAGGGTTATACAGGGTTATACAGGGTTATATAAGGTATTTGACCCCAAATATCAGCTACGGTGTAATAAGGACATCAGGTTTAAATAAATTATAAGCGTAATACATCTTGTGATATATTTAAACTAAAGATGGCACAAACTGACACATCCATTATTACACCCATTAAAAATTAACTCTCCCACATCATTTTCTCCCATTTAGCCAGTAATGTCTGCTTTGCTTTGCAGTCTTTTAATTTCTGAAAAAACAAAACAAAAAACAAACTAGGCCCCATACTATGGCATTACTGTTATAGTTAATACTAATCCCTTCACATGTTCAAAAAATGAAACCCAGTCAAAAATATCCATTTATTTTCTTCATTGCAGTCTGGAGTCTATGCCAGATGACACTGGGCAAAGAGGCGGCGTACACACTGGATGGACAGTTCACCAGTCTAACACAGGAAATCGCAGAGAATCAGACAACCATCCACACTTTACTGTTTGCACATAACAACATGCAGTTAAGAGATAACGGCTGCAGCATTGTGCTGATCCCAAAGACACGTTCAATCCCAAACTCTTTACAGTCTTATTGTGAATATTACTGTGTGAATTAAATTATCCGTTTATGAGACAATAAAATACTGCAGGGCTTTACTCTGTTCTGTTTGCCATGGAATCTGTTAGCTGTCTTTTTGTACACACATAAATCACATTTATTTCTTTAGATATTGCATTGACTGCACTGTTGGATGCACTGTGATACTCTGTGTTCATGTGCTGTGATGCTCTTCATACTGTTACAAGCATGCTCGGTCATGCTTCTGTGTATGTGGGACATGTTATGGGCTAACTGCTCATTAAAACCACTTTCCGAACAACACATTTTTCTCCTCGCACGAGGAGCTAATTAGGAATCAACACTGCTAATTGGGTCTGTACTTTATCATTATATCTTAATATAATAAAACAATACAACTAATAGCCCCTATTAGTTTTAATTAAAGCAATATCATTAGAATGTGAAAAACCTTAAAAAATGACTAGATGTTTTAAAAGATTTTTCTTTAGTATCTCAGTAAATTTTCCATGGATATCATTGTTCACTCTACTGCACAATAAGCAAGCATCAGTGAATGGGCATGTGATATATTATTCCTGTGAATTAGTCCGTTGTTTATTTGGGATCATTAATGGGATTTACTGTACATCACTGCTGGACAGTGTATGAATCCAGTGGGATGCTGGGAGATTACTGTAAGTCACATAAATTGTGTCAATTTGCTGCTAATAAAACTAATAAATGATAAAACTAGTTATTTTTCAATCCATAGTAGTATTTTGCAGGCCAGGTCTGTTTTGGTATTCTTTTCTGAATGCAGTGTTTTTTTGGGGTTTTTTTTGTAATAGTAAATGCTTTGTCTCGCTGTGCCTTTCATGTGACACGTACAAATAGTGGTTATTTATCTAACAGAAGCTTCTCTCCTGTTTCCTCAGATCTGACTTTGATCTACTCCACCTTTTCAGACATGAAATAAGTCACCCATGTGCAGTTCTAAGAGTCAGAGCAGTCTCATTATAACTCGCCCCTGTTAAGGACCCCTCTGGTGGCTACACCGCCGAATCACAGGACATGTACGGCAGTGCCAGAGCTGTAGGCCATGTAGAGAGCAGCCCCGTACGGTCCCCGCGCCTACCAAGGTCCCCCAGACTGGGCCATCGAAGGGCACACAGTGGGAGCGGGGGCGGTGCGGGGGGCAAGACGCTCTCCATGGAGAACATCCAGTCCCTCAACGCTGCCTATGCTACTTCGGGGCCCATGTACCTGAGTGACCACGAGGGCGTGGGCTCCACTGCCACCTACCCAAAAGGCACTATGACTCTGGGTCGCGCCACCAGTCGGGCCATGTATGGGGGCCGTGTCACAGCCATGGGCAGCAGTCCCAATATTGCTTCTGTGGGGCTGCCTCATGCTGACCTTCTGTCTTACAGTGACCTGGGCTCCCTCTCCATGCTGCACCCCCACCACCACCAGGGGGTGCCCTCTGCTCTGCTGAGGCAGGCAGTGCGGGGCAGTGGTGGGGAGCTGCTGGAGATGCAGGCCCAGCTCAGGGAGATGCAGAGGGAGAATGAGATGCTGCGACGGGAGCTTGACCTGAAGGACAGTAAGTTGGGATCTTCCACCAACAGCATCAAGAGTTTCTGGAGTCCTGAACTGAAGAAGGAGAGGATAATGAGGAAAGAAGAGGCGGCTCGTACGTCAATCCTCAAAGAGCAAATGAGAGTCACTCATGAGGAGAACCAGGTGAGACAAGCCCTCGTAGCTGTCATAATCCACTCATTACTGCAGTGAATTTCAGTTGCTGCTTTTGTCTCTTGCCTTTCTGTTTTTTTTCACGTACTGTCCTTCTTGAGCTGTGACTGTGCTTTCACCACGCTCTCCTTCTGCAATAGACCACAGTCATCCTCAGTCCAAGATTTCAGAGAATTATTGCAGTCATGTTTTTCAATACTTGTGGGAACCTTTCTGGAAAGAGTTATTTGTGTGCATAAATATTTAACATGCCGACACTCTCCTCTCCTAGTACTCCTCTGCAGAATCAATGTCACCTCAGCCACAGGAAATACAAAACCCTAATCAAGTTTTTTACAATATACTCGAAATCTGAGCATATTAAGTTAAAAGTGCAGTGACGCTGCCAACAGGTAAACTGAACTTCCTGCACACAGTATAGAAGCAGCACTGCTTAATTTTAGTGTATTTTTTTAAAGGTTCAGCAGATTGGCCCTAGAGGGGGGAGATGTCAAAAGGGTTTCTGCTTGCCTCAGTGTGGGGGTGTAGTCATGGCCCAGTTAAATCACTGCCTGACAAGAGTAGGCACAAGGCCCAGACACAATTGTCAAGGACTCTTAAACACTCTCTATCTGTCTTACTCTCTAACTGTCATTCTCATTTTCCACTGTCTGTCCTTTACTCGCACTGGCTTTGATCATCTCTCGCTGTTTACCTCTGTTCATCTGGCCTTCACTGCATTCACTTTAAGAGAGCTTTCAACCCACTTTTGGAGTTAATGAAGTAAAAGGCTAACCTGCAGCTTTCTTCTTCTTGTCCACTGACCTGTGTGTGCAGCACACAAATATCTACAGAAAACAAGGTGGATAAAAAAAACCCCCAGCTGAGCTCGCGTTCATGTTGAGAAAATGCTCACCCTGATTTTAATCATTTTTATGTCAAACCTTGGTGGCAGAAATTGGAAACAGTTAGCTGACTCATAGTCTGGAGAGAACATTTGAATATAAAGCCCTCGGTTCAGTTGGATATGTCATTGCTGATGATACAGTGCACTAGATTGTGGAGTAGGTCAGCGTATTGCTTGTCTGGCCAGACTGAACCGTACAGTATGTTTTTTCTTTTTGTGGCAGGCTGTGGCATGATGCAGCAAATTGAAGAATACCTCAGTGATGTAAAGGTTAAAAATGACCAGCCGGCTGGCGTCTTTGTGCCAGTTTGAGATGTGATTTAAAATAACGAACAGCCAGTGGGGCATTCATTACTCAAAGCAGCAGACGGTGTCTCTCCACCCTTCAAGGTCATAGAAGGATAGTGTTAGCAGGACCGTCACATGACTGTCTGTCGGCACATTGGTTTGGATTTATGTATAAGAACAGCCCTTTAAAAAACAAATCGGTGTGGACGCACCTGATTTGACTGGAGTTAAAAGGGCCTGCACTTTTTATTCTTGTGGTTACAGCAGTGTCATGAGGCTAAACTGAAAGATGCGTCACAGGCTGGATGCCTAAACCTGCTAGCAATCCTCATAAAGGGTGTGGGGCAGGTGTACTTTGACTCTTGTCTTTCTTTATGATTCCTAAAAAAACAAGGGGGCACTTGTTTTGGGCGTGAATGAGCATTTGTGTGGTGTTATTCGATTTCCTTGATTTGTTTTTTGAATCCACGCCTGAATAAAAATGATATCATCATTTGCAACACATTAATTTGGCAACAGTTGTGTAGATTATGCACAGCCTTTGTATTTGAATAGTAGGCAGACTGTCTGGTTATTACTGATGAGAGTCTGTGTCACGCATCGGGATGAAGTCAAAGATTTAACATCGAAACAAGTTTTGTATGCAAATGTGCCTGTTTAATAGCAGTGTCAGTGACAGGACCAAAGCAGTTCTTTACATTCAGTGTGATTAGGTACTGAGTCCTGTATGCATTTTTAGCCTGGCTTCAGACATTGCAGTGGCTGATTGGTCCTGTAGAACATGAAGGCTATACAGTGTTGGCTTTAATAGGTTTTCACTTGCCACAAATATATTTAGCCTTGTCCAGTCCATAGTCATCCCCTGCACTGAGTAATATTTATGTTCCTCCTGGTAGGGCTCATTAATGAAGTATGTCAGCTAATAAAAGGCAGATGTGCCTTGTTACTATAATTGGTCTGTTCTAAGTTGATTTCTGGGCTGCAAGGCGTCCTTACATAAGTGCATACTTGCAGTGGAATGCTTTGGTCACACCCACTAGGCTTGTTCAGAGGCTGAGTGAGGAGCAAATTGCTTCATTAATAATGGAGTAATTTCAGGCCAATCATTACGTCTGTCTTGCAGAACTCTTTACAGTTGCATCAGGTGCCTTGGGCCTCTATTAGCTTGAGCAAATGCCATGCATTATTTATCGTGCGAAATCTAGAATAAGGGAGGATGTGCTTCTTTTTTTAGACAAACTTTTTAAAGACATGGCATTAGATTTTGCCTTTTGTCTGTTTTGTAAAGCGAAGATTTCATTGTGAGTGAAATACCAAGCGTAGCCTGCAGAGTTTTTATCAAAACGTTCAATGGTCATGACTGGAGGTAATGATTACTGATTAGCCCGGGACCGTTTTGTGCATTTTTAATGTAGTGTGGCTGAGGCCGTTATAAAACTGTTCTTTTTTGACTCCATTTCACCAAATGTTTTGCTGCGCTCAAGCTGGAGAAGAGCTGCTGGAGGCAAATATGTGAGCTAGAGCATACCATATCGGACTGAGTCATGACCACTCCTGCTCAGCCACCCAGTCAGCCTGCATCAATGCTTTTCACAAAAATGGAGGCTGAGCTTCCCAGTCCCTCTGCTCTGTGTCTGTGCATGGGTGCAATGTTTGCTTATTTTATGCTGGAAGATGCCAATCTTTACATGGTGTTAGCACAAGTGTGAACTTGTGAATCTCACCAGAGTGTTGGAGTGTATTTTAAATACCTCATGAAAAAGCATTCATGCTTGTATTCCTCATATCTGTGTGTGTAGTGTGTTTGCATTCTTAATTAGCGGTTACTTCCTTTGGTAGTTGTGCTGGCTTGTAAATGTGTGCACAGAAGTTTAATTGCCAGGGTGTGTTTGTGTGGGAGGGGATAGTTAATTGTTTGTATGTATGATTCATGGCTCAGGTGAACCCACTACAGAGTACATTAGTGCAGTTTGTTGATTTATCCCATTTCATTAAGTAGCAAACAAGCTTGCAGCTGTCATACACACATGATGAGCAAAAGTACTGATGACACGTTGAGTCATGTCACAGTCAGCGTCATGTGAATAGTCACTTTTCTTAAAGTGCCCATGGATTCTTCCCGTGCCGGCCACTCTCCATCAGAGCACATAAGATGGCTGCTGCCTCATCCACACGACAGGAAGGTGTTGAAATGAGGAGGCCGTCTCCCTATTTTATTTTGACAAGATGAGATTAAAATGCAGTTTACATAGGGCAAGGCTGCTAGGATTTGGATGAGAGTGAAATGTTACAGTCTCCTTTTTCTACAGAATCACATCAGTTTAGATTCAGAGCAGAGATTTGAGTGCAGAAAAATCATAACAAGTAAAGTAATAAAAAATATGCACAAATGTAAGCCAGAAAATAAAAGGTAATCACACAATTAATGACACTGCAGTTTTGCATTTCTCTAGGAACATATTTGAATCTTGTTATTTCAATACATTACACTGAAGCATGTCAAAATACAGTGGGGGGAAGAATGATCTGATCCCCTGCTGAGTTTGCTCACTTGCAAAGAAATGAACTCTAATCTTCTCTGATTTTTATGGTAGTTTAATTTTAATGGAGAGAGACAGAATATCAACCAGAAATTCAGAAAAAAAAATACATTAAAGTTAAATCCTTGTTGGCAACCACAGTTGTAAGACAGCCATAACATGTTTCTTGTAGTTGCTCAGCAGGTCTTCACACATCTCTGGTGGGATTTTTGGCCCACTCTTCTTTACAGACACTCACTGAAACCTTGAGGTTTCTTGGCAGCTGCTTGGCAACTCAAAACTTCAAAGTCTGGAGACTAGCTAGGCCACTCCATGACCTTAATGTGTTTCTTCTTTAGCCATTTCTTTATTGCCTTGGTCATATGTTTTAGGTCAGGGGTCAGCAACCTTTCTAATGATGAGTGCCATCTAAAATTTCCTCAGAAGTCAATGTGCCATATGATTGCATTAGCAATAAATTTAATAACGCTCTATACTAACAGTTACATACTATATAGAACAACTTTATAGAATTATATTTGTTCGCAGATGTTGGCAGCTATCAGCAAATAGTTATCAGCTATTTTGTAACAAAAAAAAGACACTTTTTTAGCCATAACAAGAACTCCATAACAGCAAATGAATTGTACAACAGAAAATGCAAATGCTATTTATGGTCTCCTCACAACAATGATAAGAAAAATAAACTGGGCCAATTGGCATGTTTGTTAATACAGAGATACACGTATTAATGTGACCTCTGGTCTCTCACTCCAGCATTCAGATGGCTACCTGAGGACTCTCTTCATGTGAGAGAAAATCTGCTCACACAGATATATAGAGCCAAATACTGTCAATAAGGCCTCCGCAATGTTCTGAAGACAGTTAAACTTGTCAGGTAGTGATGTCCAGCAGGTGAAAATGCAAGCTCCATGAACACGCACAGCTATGGATACCAGTTGCATTCGTATTTCTGCAAACTTTGACCCCCACAGAGTGTGAGTTCTGTCACGAGTCTACCGATGTATCTGTGTATTTCCGCGGTGTTGATGCTGCGCTGAGCGAACAGCTCCTGAAGCATTTGAAGTGTCGGAATGTTGAAATTTCAACATCGCTTGAAAGAACTGCCAGCTAGTAACGTCCCTTTTACCGGTAGGCCAAGTAATTTTTAGCTTATTGGTTGTATCTGGTAGTTGGGGGTTGTTAGCTAAGATACCATCATTAAGAAGTGGCACAACTAATGTGTCTATGCAAGATAATTTGCAATGTGCACTGCTGGCCCAGCCATTTATTTTTTA